GGGGGTTTGTACCGCTTCTGGGCCCCACTCCGGAGCTGCCACCGGCTGCCCATCATCGCCTGCTGCTTGCGGCAAGGGTGTGGGCGGCCTCAGGGCTTCTCTGGCAGAAGCGGCCTACCTCATGCTCTACAGGCTGTGCGGGAAGCCAGGGTCAGCGGCTGGGGCAGGGAGTCAGGTGGTGCTCAGGGGAGCCCAGCCTGTGGTTGTACAGCTCAGTGGACCTGGCTGGCCCTCGGTCCCGAGCACGTCCCCGCCCCGCCGCGTGCCTGCCCAGGGTCCCACGGACGAGGTGCCCTGGGCCTGGGGCTACCTCCGCACCCAGCTGCACACCTCCACCTGGGCCTGGACGAGGCCTATTTCCTGCTCCAAGTCCTCGTGTTTCCGCCTCAGCCTCTGCGTGCTCTCCAGATCTTTCCCACAGTCCAGGGCCTGGACCAGGGTGGCCTGGGGAGGAAGGGGGCGTTATTATCAGCCTTTTCTCCAGCTCCTCCCTCACTGCAGAGGGGTCGCTGGTCACAGGGTTTCTGTGTGGGAAGCAAGCACCCAGCCTGATTCCCTTCCCAGGGCCCTCCGCGGGCTGGAGCAGGCTGCTGGCCCTGACCACACGTCCCTTCCTTCCGTGAGGGAGGAAGGCCCCCAGGAGAGACTTGGGGCTGGAGTTTCGCTGGCGGTAGGAACCTCCACGGGTGTGCTGCTTCCACGTGCGTGGTCTCACCTGACCCTCGTTCCTTTGCAGGGAACTGAGATGGGCTGGCCTGGGTGGGGCAGGAGCCAGAGGGGCAGGAAGAACAGAGCCCTCTGCATGCTCAGAACAGGGCGCCACGCGCTTCACAGGGGGCTTCTCAGGCCGCGCACAGCTTCCCCACTCCCACCTCTGCCAGCGTCTAGGCCAGGTTTCTCTGTGGCTGCTGACACGATCCCGGGGCAAACCTACTGCGGGTTCTGGCCTTGCTCGGGGACAACAGAGGAAACGGTGGGGAGCGGGATGCTCTGGCCTCCGGACTCACAGTGCTTCTGGGAGAGAAAGGCGGCAGGTGGGCCAGCCTCCTAGAAGCAAATGGGGGCTTCTAGGTCCGCAGTTGACCCCGAGAACCGCTGGCAGACCCTCGGATGGCCCCCTGATGGGACCTGCCTACAGGTACCCAGCTGAAGAGGAGAGGCGGGTGAGGCGGGGGATGCACTGGCTCCCTGGCTGCATCAGCAGTTCCACTGCTTACCTTCTCCCCGATCTGCTGAGTGAGGTCATCCAGCTTTTGGGACAACGTGTGTATCTCCGGGGCCCCTTCAAGCTGCCGCTGGTAGCAGAGCAGGTTGCCATGGAAACTGTTCCACCTGATGGAGAGGGTGTAAGGCTGAGTCTGAGGTGACCCTCCAGCTCCCTCTCCCAGCCCCACTGCTTCCGGCTCTGGGACTGGCCTGTTGTTGAGCGGCTGTCACCGTTGGCAGGTGGTGTTGAGTTGCTCAGGGTCCTGGTTCTTGAACTGCAGGGACAAGTCATTGATGCTCCTGATGTGGGCATCATCCACCGTGTCCTGTGGAGGTGCAGGGGGAGGGCATCTGTGGCACCTGCTCCGAGCCCCGTCTTTGCACTGCATCAACACTTGGAGAGTGTGCTCGGGCCGGAGAGAGCTCGAGGAACTGCACGTTTGGGGAGTGGAGGCAGCTGCTTCCTCTGCCGTGGCCATCCCATCCCATGCCAGGTGCCCTGAGCAAGATGCACCTGGGGTCTGTAGCCCAGGGTCATCTCTAAGACTAGGAAATCTGCTCCCCAGGTCGGGACCAGGCAGCAGCGGGAGGGCAGGCACGCACTGATGAACAGAAGCTTTTAAAGTTAAAATGCAGCTTCTCAGGATAAGAAAAGCAAAGCAAGGGGTCGAATGAAATGGTGAGTGCCAGCCTCCTTAGGTTTGGGTGTCCCTGTCCCTGGGAGTCACTGGGCTGAGGCTGCCACTGCTTAGACACTGGGTGGGGTTCATGGCTACACGGGGCTGGGGTCCCTGACAGTGGATGGACTGCAGGTGTCCTGCCCCAGTAAAAGCGCCTTGCACTGGTCTACATTTCCAAAGCGCTTCCCAATAGGTGTCTCATAGGTGCACAGGGAAGGGGGTTTCTCTCTTTTATAGAAGCTGGAGCAGAGCTCAGAGACTAACCTGGTGAATTTATGGCAGAGCCAGGACTCAAACCCAACTCCTCAAGTCTATCTAACACCCTTTCTCCTACAGCATCTGGCACAGTGGCTGTGAAATTCCACCGTTAGTAAAGACCATCTTAAATTGGAGCACTGCAGCCTTTTAAAAAAGTCATATACTTACTTCAGGGGGTGAGGTTAGCATGTCTGGGCTCTTAATACATGATTGTGAATGCACTTGGCCAATGTCTTTCCTCTATACCGCATAAGGGAAATTGATTTTGGTGTGTGTATGAGTAGCGGCTGGGAAGGAGATGCTGAATGAGAGTTCTGAGCAACTGCAGTTTATTGATTATCTACTACACCCAGGCACACATGCATTCTTGTTTTTTTTAAATTTTGAAATAATCATAGATGCACAGGAAATTGCACAAGTGTATAATGAAGGCCCGTGTACCCTTCCCCCAGCTTCCCCTGATGATAACATCTTACATAACTATAGTGCCATATGAAAACCAGGACATTGACTTTGGTATAACTGTGAACTGGACTACAGACTTTATTCAGAGATCAGCAGCTTTTACATGCATGCACCTGTGTGTGGGGGGGAAGGTATAGCTCTAGACAGTTTTATCACATGTATAGATTCCTGCAACCACCACCATACGTATATGCTCTCTTACCTATGAGGTAAGCGATATCCCCATTTTAAAGATGAAGAAACTAAGGCTTGGTGAGGTGAGGGAGGCTCCCCCTGCCTCAGAACTTTCCCCTTGGCCATCCTGGCATCCTCACTTTGGGGCAGGGTGGGGGCTGAGGGCCTGGCTGTTACCTTGGCAACAGAGGTTATCATCTCCTCATGGGCCTGGACCTCAGCCTCGAAGGCCTGGTGTTTCGGCACGTGCCTCAACTTATCTTTCAGGTCCCCAGGAGGGACTGGTTCTTTCAGCTGCTGGAGTCACTCCTGGATCCAGTCCTCGGCCTGGTGCGGGGGGGACATGAATCTCATGACGCTGATGCTGCCTCGGTCCACAGAAACGTCCCACACGCCTGTGCTCAGCTGTGCCCAGGTAGCTGGCTTCTGGCCCAAGGGTGGGGCTGGGCAGTGCCTGGTAAATAAGGAAGACAGCCCCAGGCCCAGATGGCCCCTCAGCCACACAAAGGGGCTGGCCAGGGAGCTTGGGTGGGACCTCATTTTGGAGGTGAGGCTCGCCTGCCCCGGGGCTCTGAACTTCTCTGCTCCCTCCCAATGCGTCTCTTTGCCCTGGCTCTGTGAGAGCTTAGGAAGCAGCAGGGTCTCCACATATGGGGTCTTCAAATCAAATATCTGGGCTCCAGCATGGCCTCTGGGAAAGCCATTTAACTCTCCAAACTTTAGTATCCTCATCACAGGGCTGTGGTGAGGCCTGAACGAGCCTGTGAAGGTGGACGTCATCTGTAAACTGGAAAATGTGCCGCAAGTGGAAGGTGCTGGGCTGGAGAGGCCCTCTGACCTGGAAGGCGGCCCTGATGAGGGCCGTCATCAGCAGGGAGGCGTGCAGGGTGTGTCCCCGGCTCTCCGCCAGCTCCTCCACCCGAGCCCGGTGCTCCAGCACGCTGCGGAGCAGGTCCTGCGCCCTGGGGCCCCCGAGCATCTTCACCTGCTCACACAGAGCCGCCTCCGGTGGGCGGGGTGGGGCTGGGGGGAACTCAGCTCTCGGTTCCTCATTCGGGGAGGCTGGAGCAGGGGCTGGCCCACAGGGGAGCCCCGCCTTCAGCCCTGCATGGCCCAAGGCTGGCCAGTCCTCCCAGCAAGCCAGAACCAGCCCCCAGCTCTCCCCCCACTGCCCTCGCTCTGCTGCCCTGTGACTACCTGATCTGGAGCCATGTGGCCCCTGTGTCCCTGCAGTGTGGCCCACCCCATCCCAGGCCCTCCTGAGCCACACGTCCTACTATGCTCAGTCAGCCCCAGCCAGGCACCCCTAGCCCCCCAGGCCACCCCCGAACACCAGCATTACCTGTGGGTACACACCGAGCACCCACGTCCCCCACTGAGTCCAAGTTCCCAGACTCCGACCACTCCACCTGGACCACGCCCAGGATCCCCCACACCCATTACCTTCTCGTCCTGGGCAGTCAGCACCTTCTGGAATGTCTCATGCTTGTGAATCAACTGCTCCACCTGTTCCACGGAGCTCCCCAGGGCACTGGTTCTCCGGAAGACCTGGCTCAGCCCACGGAAAGTCAAAGAGGCCATCAGGGACTGTCCAGACAGCCAGCCCCACACCCCCATTTGCAGCCGTCTGGGTCGAGGCAGTGCACAGCCTCTGGGGTCCACATCGGGGAAAGGGCCAGAGCCCCATGAAGCAAGAGAGCGGGTGGGGGAGAGGGCAGAGGGGAGAGGAGGGCGCGCTAGGAGGCTATGGGGTGAGGGCACCTGCCTCCCGGGCCGTGAGCGTCTCGTCCAGGTGGCCACGCTTTCTGAGGAAGAGCTGCTCCCGGTGCCTGGCCTGCAGCCTCTCCTGTTTCTGCTCCCAGGCCTGGAACACCTGTTGCTGCTTGTCCCGCAGGACTTGCAGCCCTTCCTGGACCTGGGCATGAGTGTGTGGAGAGCCTGCACTCGGGAGAGCCGCATGGACCAGATGGAAGCAGGTCCCAAGGGCAGCCTCTGAGGGGAGGCCGGCGTGGCGCAGTGGGGTAGGGGTACAGTGATCAGGCACAGGCTCAGGTGGGGTAGGCTGGGTGGGGCACCAGGAAAGGGGGCCCCACCTCCTTGATGGATGTCCCTGCAGCCAAAAGTGCCTGCCGGCCCACCTGGGCAGCCTGCCGGTGCAGCTCCGCCTGGGCCTCCGGCACTGCCCGAAGCTACTGGTGGGCGCTGAGCTTCAGCAGGCCACTGCCGGGCTCCTGGGAGACCTCCTCCACCTGCAGCTGCTGTCACACACAGGCGCCCAGGAGGCGCAGTCCCGCAGCAGATCCCAAGGAGACGGAGGGAGGGAGTTGGATGAGGGCTGGGCTGGGCGGCGGAGAACCAGCCTCTGAGGCACAACCGCAGCCTGCCTGGATCCGCTCACACACTGAAGTGGCCCCGAGCTGTCCCAGCTCTGAGCCCAGGTGAGGTTCACGAGGCCTGCGGTCACCTCACGGCTCCGCTGTTGTCCAACCCAATCCCCCCAGGGCTACTAAACTTCCACAGGCGCCAGACCAGCCTCCTCCTTGCCCCGCCCTTGACTTCTCCCCACCCTAGGCTTCCCCTTGCCCCACTGGCTTAGCTCTTCTTCCTCCTTCCTTCCGTCCCTTCCAAGCTCACGTGCTCACAAGGGCCAAGGCCTCCTTTGCCTTGCGAAGCCTCCCCCCGCCCCCTGCCATCTCACTGCGCGCCTTGTCCCCTGAATCTCCAGTTTAATACTTACAAACACTCTTCTGTTGATTTGTGCACAAACACATGTTAGAGCTGGAGCGGCCTTGGATCCATGTCCCGACACCTCATTGCACAGATGAAGGGTAAATTGCACATTGTGTGTGAGGGAGTTTTGTAACCTCCAGACGCTCACACACAGGGGGTAACAAGCTAGGGGTGAGTGCCTTGCTCGAGCCCACGCTGCTAGAAAGTGGCAGAGTTGGGTCTCTAAACTCAAGCCTTTTTGCTGTGACATGGTTTGGGTCTCCCTGTCTATCAGGCACCGGGATAAGGGGACTCCTAGGACCAAGCTGGCTCTGTGGGGTTTTTGGCCCAACCCCCCCCCCCCCCGCCCCAGCTAGATAGGCTCCCTGACGGCAGTGATTCCATCTTTCACAGGCTCTGTATCACCTTCTCTCCCCACTCACAGCTCCTAGCAGAGAGCTAAACACAGATGTTAAAAAGATGCCGGCTAATCAAAGGTCACCGTCTAGGACATGCAGATCTCCAGTTCTGGGCTTTCCTGGGCTGTTTCTCCTCCTGAGCTCTGGCTGGGACCCCTGCCTCCTAACTGCACTGTCACTCGCCTGGGCTGGTGTTGACCCAAATCTGAGGACTCACCACTGCGTCCCCCGCGCTCAGCCCTCTGCCTGGCCAGATGGACACCCACACATGCCCAGTGCTCTTCCTCCTCGTGTCGCCACTCGTCTTCCCTCCAGGGTTGGAGGGTCTCATTAGTGCATGCACACTCACGGTACAACACACACACGCACACAGAGCCTGGGGAGGGAAGAGCCCTCACCACTGCATGGAAGCGGGCCAGGAGCCACGCCCGCTCCAGCTGGGCCCGGTGCTGCTCCACATGCAGCTTTAGGGCCTCCCAAGCCTGCACCAGGGCCCACTGCCTCTGCTGCACCGCTTGGGCCTGAGGCCCGGGCCCCAGCTTCTGCACCATTCCTCCAGTCTCCAGCAGCTCCTGCAGCTGGGGGCAGGGTAGTAATAGGGAGGGAAGGGTCGCGTCCTCCTAGAGGCTGAAGGGCCTGCCTATCCCACGGCTCCCTCCTGGGGTGCTGCCCTCCATGCACAATGGGCCTGACTGGCGGCCCAAGAGCGGCGGGGGGGTGGGGTGGGGGTGGGGGTGGTGAAAAGCTAGAGAGAAGATGGGCAGGCCTGCGGGGGAGAGGCAACCAGACCTGGGCTCACCTGCCACTCAGTGCCCATGAGTTCATGCTCCAGCCCCTCGTGTCTCCTCAGCTGGGCCCCCAGCCCACACAGGTCCCAGGCCACACCACAGGGGAGGCTTGTGGCTTTCTCCCAAGGAAAGGAGATGACCAAGGGGATCAGGACTGGAGGGTGGGGCGCTGATCCACTTCTAGAAAGAATCCCCTTCCTCCTCCTGGGCTCACACCTGGACCTGGGTGAGGGCTTCCAACAGATCTCTGTGAACTTTCAGGGTGATCTCAGCATCTCGGAGCAGGCGGCCGTGGGCCTGGGTCAGCGCCCACAGCTCCAACCAGGCAGCCCTGCGCACAGGCGTGCGGGAGACAGGCAGCAGATCAGCTATTCACCTAGTACCTCCTTCCGCCCCCTTTGCTAGGCTGGTCAGCACTCCTGCTCTCTGGGCTGCATCCAGGACTGGCCCAAATCTCCCCTTCTTTTTTTTTTTTACAGCCTTATTAAGGTAAAATTTATGTACCATAAAATTCACCCATTTTAAGTATTCAATTATTTTTTTT